GAAAGATGCGATGAGAATGTGGTTATCTTCATACAGTCTCATCCTGCCGTAAGGAAGTAGTCTTACCATTGATTCAGTAACCACATTCAGTAACCTCCTTGAATGGGTGGCATGATCCCCCCCCCCCTTTTAAGGAAGGAGAAGGGAAAAGAAAGGAAAGCAGGTGGAGAAGAAGAAAAAGTAAGCAAGAAACCCCACAAATAATAGCAGACGAGTTCATGGAGATAAATAGTAAAGGAAGAATAACCGAAGGAACCAGAACCTGAGACATGGCCTGACCTTTAATCGGGGCTCTCATTCGTAGCAGCCTGTGAAGCAGCTTTAGCTTTACCTGCTCAATGGGTCTCACAATGCTGATGCACTGCTTTAATTTGGGAAGCCTTTCTCTAGAGAGGAATGTCTTTTCTTGCTCTAAGTCTCAAGTGCTCCCAAGTGTGGCATTCCCTGTGACAGATGTACTACAGTTATACTTTAGCTGACTCCAAACCCATAGTTTCCCAGAGCCTGAGTGGTCTATTTGATGTCCAAGAGTGTATATCCTCTGAGAGCAGGTCTTTGCTGGAATATCATCCAGGAAGGTAAGGAGGTGTGGCCGCTTTGTCCTTAAACAGTATTTGTTAAATTCTGTAGCTCCAGCCTCACCGCAGGGCTGTGCTTTCAGAAGATCTAAAACTCATGTGTTGATGTGCATAACACCTTACACCAGTTCCATGGAAGGGCATATTTAACAATCCTTTCCTTGGGTTACAACATTTCCTCACATGGTCCCAGTCCCTTGTGACTCTGCAAAAATAAGGAATTTCTGAAGTATTCAGGCATCCCCAAGGAGACCAGATTCGCTGGCAAATCTCTCATCCATCGTTCCACTTCTTGAAGGATTCTCCAGGTCTTGTTGACAGAATCAACCATGTGACTAGAAGGACCAGCCAGCTCCCTACATGTCCATCTGGGAAGGTTTTGCGTGTCTGTTTCTCACTGATGATCGCTGTCATTTTTCTCTAAATTCTAATCTCTCCACCATCAGAACCCACTCTTGAAGACAAGCAGAAACATAGCTCCAGGCCATTTCTGTTGGAACATGTGCCACTTGTCTTCTTGCAGGAGTCACAGCTCCTCCTGCCAGCACTGGTGTCTGCTGAAGGCGCCATGGCTTCTCCAGCTCCACCCATGCCTGTCCAAGAGGGAATTTCTGTTCATCTACCAAACAGCTTGCATCCTCTCTTGGTGTCCCGATTAGATAACGAAGGGTTTGGGTCTTGGCAAGAAGATGTTCCTATCGTTCTTAGGTTAGAAGTAGCTTCTGTTTAAAATCTGCCTCTAAATAAGTTAAAGGAAATTCTCCTTTGAATTTTAACACTTGATTTTTTTTTTACATTTTTACTGGAGAAAAAAGTGTAATTAATTCTGTTACCAAATCTAAGAGAGAAAAAAATAATCTGAAGCACTTCTTTTAAGTATATATCACTTGGTTTATTTTTCTCTTCATTTCTCCTTTGAATTTGTTCATTAATAGGAGTCAAAATTTGTTTAGTAAAGGGAAAGCAAAGTACAATTTAATTACTTTCTAATAATAGCATAGGACTATGGTATAATATGGAGAATTCATCAACAACCTGCATTATGCAGATGACACAACCCTGCTTGCTGAAACTGAGGAGGACCTTAAGCACAACTTGCTGTAGAAGGTCAAGGGCTGTAGTCTTCAATATAGTTTGAAGCTCAACATCCAGAAGACAAAGACTCTCACCATTGGGCCAATTGGCAGCACCATGATGGATTAAGAGGAGATTGAGGTGGTTAACAATTTCAGCTTGCTCAGCTCCACAATCAACACTCTTAACACCCGCAGTCAGGAAATCAAAAGATGAATTGCATTTGGAAAATCTGCTGTTAGGGACTTCTCTAGACTACTGAGAAGCAATGATGTCATTCTAGAGACTAATGCGCCCCTGATCCAGGCCTTGGTCTTTACAATTACTTGCTATGCATCAGAGAGCTGGACAATGTAAAGAATAATGTTGTTATGCACCACTGAGTCTGAACCAATTCATAGCTAACCATCTAGCAGGTGTTTAAAGGCAATCACACAACACATTAATCACATGGAATTTCTCTTTATTCACATGAGAAATTGTCTATTTATTTCTCATGGAGTAGCAAGCAGATTTGAACTACATGCCTTTGGGTTGACAGTGCAATTCTTTACCACTAGGCCATGAGGAATCTGCAAAACATCTTTCAACATGAATGAATCTGGAAGACATTAAGCTGAATAAAATAGCCACTCATAAAAAGACAAATATTGTATGGTCCCATCCCACTGTTAAAAGAAATCAGAAAGAGATACACACACAGAAATAAAGCAAAGTTATTTGATTATTATCAGGAATTAGAAGGATAGCTAGGAGGAATCACTTTCTAGACAGTAAATAGTTTTTCTTTTGATCATGAAAAAAGCAATTCCAGATAAAGATAAGACAGCACAAGTTGACGGAAGTAAATAAGGACACTAGAAGTATGTAAGAAGAGAAAATCTCAGTAAATACTCTAACTTATAATTTTGTAAAACAAACAAAAAAATGTGTAAGTAATCCCATAGGTAGATATGGACATACATATATGTACAAGAAGATATGTGAGCAAATGTACATACATATATAGTTAGGCCTCTGAAAAGCACTAGGGAGTCATCTATGAGTCAATGTGACTAAATGGTAAACAGAATGTACATACACATTTGTAAATACACACTCGTTTAACAACACAGGAGACCCAGTTACAGAGACTTCCTGGACATATCCAAACAGCTCACAGGATTGGTTTACATCGATGCCTTCGAGTTTTGGTGCTGGAGAAAAGTCCTGAACATACCATGGACTGCCGGGAAAACAAATAGGTCTGTCTTGGAGAAGGTGAAACAAGGTTTCTCCTTGGAGGCTAGGATTTTGAAGATCCATTTCAGAAACTCTAGGCATGTGTCCACAAGGGACCAGTCCTTGGAGAAGAACACCATGCTCGGAAGGGTGGAGAGACAGCACAGGAGAGGAAGATCCCAGATTAGATGCATTGATAGAGTATCTGGGGTAATGAGGGTAAGCGTGTCAGAGTCAGTGAGACTGGCTCAGGACAGGGCAGGCATCAGAGTTGTACACAGGGTCACTATGAGTCACAGGCAATGCCACAGCACATAACAAAAATGTGATAAAATCCTCAGGAGTACTGGTGGCTTAGTGATAAGGAGCTTTGCTGCCAACCCAAAGGCACACAGTTCGAATCCACCAGATGCTCTGTGGGAGAAATATGTGCGGTCTTTTCCCATGTGATTTACTGCCTCTGAGATGCCACTGGAGTGTCAGCTATGAGTTGGTTTTGACTTCACAGTACATAGCCACAACAATAGCATAACAGCATAATCCTAATCCAGTTATTATCAAGCCATTTATTTCTAACACGTATTGAAGCCAGAGTAGAACTGTGTTCCATGGAATTTCTCATGCTGGTGTTTTGGAAGTAGGTCACCAGGTCTTTCTTTTGAGGCACCTTTGGGTGGACTCCAACTCCCTGACCTTTGGTTTAGCAGCCAAGTGTGTAAATCATATATGCTCCACTAGGAGCTCCATGACAAAATAGTGTTGCTGTTGGTAGGTGCTGTTGAGTCAACTATGACTCACTGCAGCCCTGTGAACAATGAACCTGAGCCATCCTCATCATCTCTGCTTTAACCATGCCAAAATAGTCATAAGTTTGTTGGGAGGTTTTGGTGGATTTTGTTTTCCTTTTTTCAGTTTATAAAAATTCTTCAAAAATGTAGAAAGTGATATAATCTTAACATTTTCTATATATGGGCATAGAGATGTTGACGTATTGAAGATAACCTATTCCTTTATTCCCTAATCAAGCAAGGACTCACAGTACATTCACACCAGGCTTACAGAGGAGAAGGCAGGACCTGAAACATCTGTTACAACCACCATCACCCTCCAGCCATGAGGACACAGACCACCATATGGGCAGAGGATGTTTTGATAATTGGAATATTTCAGTAATTGGTTGGAAGAAAACACAACAAACTGTCCTTTTTTTTTTTTAAAGAGAGAAGATATATTGCTGTTGTCATCCAAAATTATTCTAATTTTCATTTTAAAATCACAGCAATTTTTTTAATACATAAAAGTATAGGGAAGAAAACAAATTACCCATCATCCTATCCTCTGGGCATTTGAAAATATAAGTAGTATATATTCTTTTGTGACTTAAAATTGCAATCATTATAAGTAAGAACACAATGAAAAGCAAGTGCTTCCTTGGTTTTATCTGCTCTGAGATTTCAGACTCTAGTCTACATAGCTCCAGCTATGTAACTAAGAGGATACCAGCTTCAAGAATGAAAGAATTTTTGTCAAAAGGAAGTTAGAAAAGAAAATGGGAGATCATATGCATTATATAATTCTTTTTAGCAAAATCACCTCTGGATATTAACAGAAGATATTAGGAAAAGCTCTAAAACTCTAGCAATGAAAAGGCCTATTGGGAAGTCCAGAAAGATAGGATAGCCAGCTTTAGTGCACATTTTGCAAGTTCTCCTGAAGACTGGAGACAATGGCTTCATCCTGTTTTTAGGATTGGTGGATGGGTTTTGACTACGAAAGCAACAGCATGAGACTCTAAAACCATGTGTGTGGACAAAAAGCAAATCACAGAGAGTGGGAGTCAACTGACCATATCATAATAAGTGAAATACATAATTTTTATGGGATCCTTTTTTCCTGGAGAAGTTAACACATCTTTATTTAAAATGTTAATAAGTTTAAGTGACACTTAAGTAATCTTTTGAATTATAAAATCTATCCTGCCTAGACAGTTACAGCAAGATAGACATATCTTGCATTAGTACCAGAATCTATGTCTTCTCATCTTTGAATAATAATAATTTGTGCCTTGACTAATCATTTAAAGGAGGTAAATTATATTTCATCTCTGACTTTGTTTTCTTTCCACAGACCCTGAAAATTGTCTCACCTTCTAAAGCTACAAAATCACCAAAGGGCTTTGACTTCTATATTTATGATGGCAGCATAGATAAGACATCCTCAGACTTCATAGCATTCAAGAAGCATTTTAACTTATCTTGGGGAACTATTTTTTCTCTCTTGGAACGTGTGGAGAAATATCTCAAGGACTATGCAATACCAGAAGTTAAAATAAAAGGGGAAAATTTGAGAGCTCTCCTCCCAGAATTTGAACTGAAGAATAAACTTACCAGAGATGATTTCCTCTCAATTATCGAAGACCCAGTTCACATCCAAATGATGTTAGATACCCCAGGTCAGCGGTACAAGGGCCAAGGCGGAAAGCTGGAAGCCATCATTAAGATCCAGGCCACATGGAGGTGCTACAAAGCAAGAAAAAACTTCTTCCTTTACCGTAAGAGGAAGTGGGCATCAGGTGTGATTGCCATTGCTTGGCTTTTACGTTGCCACAAGACTCGACTGAGAAACATCATGAGAGAATCCCATCAAAGACACCTGGAGAATTTCCACATTCGAGCCAAGGTGCATGACTGCCAGCTGTGAATGCAGACCTCTCCTTCTAAGCATTCCTTGCTTGAGCAGTTAAAATAAGCTGGCTTCTTATGTCCCCTTTCTCTCTCCGACCACCCCTCAGCTTTCCTTGCCTTCCTTTTCCCTCCAATCAGACTTCTACTTGTGCATCATATGTAAGCCCTAATCAGAAACCTGGCTCTTCAGCAGCAAAATCTGTTGCAATTTTTCCGAAAGGAAAAAAAGTTCCTTTCTTTTGACTCTGGTAGTTCTGTCAGAAAATCAATATTTTAACTGCATTACGTTTTCTCTCTATATATATACCTTCTGGCACTTTAATTTGCTAAGAAAAAAAAATCCTCTCTTGTCTGCATTTCTGTCACCACTTTGTCAGAAAGTATTTAAGTTTGCAGACAGCCTTTTAATTAGTGCTCACAATTTCATTTATGTTTGCTTTCTCTTTTTTTCATTCATATTCTGTTAATTAAGTGAGCTGCCTCTAATCTTCCCCTGCCAGTAGCATCATGTAGCCACCTAATTAAATTAATTGGGGAAGATGTTTTAAGTATGTAATTAAATCAATTAATATAATTTATGCCTGGCTTAACTGTACAGTGGAAAAACAGCTGAAGTTTGACTAGATGAATCCACTACAGCTTCCTGTCACTGATCAATGCTCTTCTTGATTTTTAGCATCTGGCAGCCAACTGGAATCGCATCAGGACCTCCAGGAGGACTATTATCCATATCCCATCATTAGGTATAACACTTTTGCCTGCAAATCTATCAGCAACCTCTATTACCCACCACATTATGGCTCCTTGATTGAGTTCAAGGAAGGCCCCTTGTTTTATTCAAATTGGTCTCGGCAGGAAAATGTTCTCGACATGATGAGAGTAATAACACAGGGCCCTCGTTCGAAACGGCGTTTAATTTGGGGATTAAGCAAATAAAGTCATTATGTGGGGGCTGCTATTCAGTGGAGAGGTGATTTGCTGTAATTCGCTTTCATCTGTATGAAATGAACTAAAAAGTTGTATTTTTCCCCCTGAAATAACAGATAATGTTTTCGATCTTCTTTAATGATAGAACACAAGCTTGTGTGTGTTGTTACTGTTACGCCAGTAAGCCAGGATATTGCTTGTACACTGTTTTTAATCAAATGTGCAGTCAAAATGATAAGCTACATTCTCTGAAATTATTTAGTTCTAATTACGAGCAGATGGGATGCTTTATTTGCACCTAGGGCGCCTGAGCAAAAGGAAATGCTGTGTGAACAAGAATAATTAAGAAGTTGAATAGTGTTTTTTGTGCTTAAATAATCTGCAGTTTCATGTTAATTAGCACTAATGTAATTATTTAATTACATTTATGAATTGGGGAACTTAAAAGCTGTTGTCTGCAACGCAGTGGTAAAATAGGTGTGCCAAAATTACATTGGGAATTTCAGAAATGTGCATTGGAAGTTCTCTTAAAAGATGAACTGCTGTCAGAATGTTTTGAGTTTTGTTTGTTTGTTTGATAATCTGTCTGTTATGTTCATTTCCTTTGGTGTGGTCAAATTTCTCAGGCTCATTTGGTAGAATTTTGACAAACAGCAAACAAGAATGATGCTCCAGATTAAATATCTTCTCTTTGTTAAGGCCTCTTAAATAGAACAGTACATTAAGTGATCAAATGATGTAGAATTCTGGATTGCATTTAATTTATGCTCATGGATGAGTGAGATATATGTATGTACTTATTTGTAATATATAAACACAAATGAAAATGCAATCAGGAAATAACTGAACATTTGAGTTTCTTCTTATTATAGGGAGCTCTGGTGCCCTAGTGGCAAGAAGCTGCACTGCAATCACAAAGGCACACAGTTCAAGTCCACCAGCTGCTCTTTGGGAGCGGGATGGGTAGTTTCCTTCCATGTGAATAATTGCCTTTGGAAACCTGCTGGAGGGTCAGTCATGGGTCGGTTCCAATTCAATGATACACAATGACAACATAAACACAATCAGTGCATTTTAATATTAATGGAAAGAAGAAAACAAATTATAAAGAAGCAAAAAAATTAACATTATTACATAACTGTGATAATATAATTTTTAATTGGTGTGTACCATTGAGTCAGAACTGACGACACATAATGGGCTTTCAGAGGCTATATATTTTTAATTAGTCAAATAATAATAGTAGCAAAGTAATGTCATATCTTAGAGTATTTCATATCTTAAGTACTTGCCGGAAACTTAAGAAAATACTTGTGTTGCACAGAACCTCATAGGGGGTTTTTTGTATTCTTCAGGGTTGGGGAAAAACCAGTTCTTTCTTAGAGATGTATTAAAGTAAGATAAGATAAATCTGATTTTCATTCTAACTTTAACTTTTTATTTTGGTGGGCATATTTTTGCACACCAAATTAGTTCATACACAGAAATTGCGCTTGTAATTGATTACAACCAGCGAGCTTAATTGCAGGCCCAATTAACAGACTCAAGGCCTTAGATAAAGGTGCCTTTTTCTTCGGCAACTAATTGTGGACCTAACCTGATATTACGTGGGAAACTTAGTTTTGTTTTCTCCATTGTTTTCAAAGCCAGATATAAATAGCCTTTGCATAAGAACTAGCACAAAAAGTATTATAGGTAATTTCTGCAAAGTTCCTCCTTCCTATGCCCATTTCTGACCTTCCAGAAACCACCATGTAATCAGGCCTGAAGAGAAGAAAACCCTGATAGTAAGGAAACTCTAAAAATTTTAAAGTAATGATTAGCGATCTAAATTGACTGATATTTTTTTCAATGACTTAAAACAACAAAAGAGATTGCAGAATAGAAATTCAGTGGAAAAATAATCTGGTTAAAGATATTGGAATTAGAAAGCATTGCTTTAAATCTGTTGGAAAATTAGTTTTTTGTCTTGATTAAAATGCTCAGTTTAAACAAATACATAGTAAATATGAAGCTCTAACCATTGCAGTCGTTTATCTTTATTAATAATGTAATACTCATTTTAAAGAAAAGCTTGTAATTATGTCGTTTCAAATTATGTTGTTTAAACCAAATGTAGGATATTCTTTTTCAGTTAAACATTTTAAAAGCCCATTTACACATTTTCACTAGGGAAAAATACCTGAGCTTTGATCAAATAGTATTTGGTGTGAGTTAGACTTTATAAAATAATTTGTGAAGATTAAATTTAAATAACATTATTATTATTTTATACCTATTTCTTAGAAGAATTCTCAAATTATACCCTTTTTTATGGTGAGAAAAATTTGTATGTAGAATTAACCATCTGGACTCAGTTTAGATGTTCCCAATTTTGTTGGTAACATCCAAAGCGTCAGAGTCACGAGTAAGTAAAAGGCCTTCTTCTCTCCATCAGGCCTAATCAAGGTGTTGACCTTGGCCACACCTGTATCACAGAGCTGCTTCACACCCAGTTTGATCTGGGGCTTGTTGACCTTGACATCCACAATGAACACAAGTGTGTTGCTATCTTTTGTTTTCCTCATGGCTAACTTAATGGTCAGGAGAAACTTGATAATGGCATAGTGGTCAAGCTTGTTTCTCCTGGGGGCACTCTTCCAGAAGTATTCAGGCTGCCTTTTAAGGCTCAGCATCTTAGGAAGGTGGTTGATATCCAGATTGATTGATTGATTTTTGTGGCTGTGGATGCCCTTCAGGACTGCCCCCCTGGCCTTAAGACCTTTCCTTTCGCTTCATCCTTCTTTGCTTTCCTGTCATCTTCATAAAAATACAAAATTATGCCTTTTAAAAACACACCACACGCACACACAATTACTTGCACTTTTCCTTGAATACTACTTTCTTTGGGAATACTCCAAGAGGATTTCACCTAGATGTAACATGGTTCCTTGTCTCACATCAGAGACTTCCCTGTAGAACTCATGAAAACTAAAAATGAGCATGAGTGGAGTGCATTTATTTATCTAAATACTTTCCTAAAAAAGGAAAATAAGAAATCTGTTCAGTGATTTTTGTTTCCAGAGTTTATTTGCAGAATTCATTTGCTGAGAGAAACACAGTTGATAGATAGTTGTAAGATTCAGGCATTTAAAGCAAGTTGCAACCTTGTCCTCGTTTTCTCTTTCTATAGGAGATTTGCAATCAATTCTCCTATAGAATTAGCCCTAGAAATAATTACACCATTCCACCAATCAATTGGGGCTGTACTAACTTGTTTGAACCCTAAAAGTGAAAGCCAGGTGGCTGATAATTGTGTATTTGGTTGTTTCTTTTGCACGTAGTTATGCATACAGAGGGATAATTGCATTCTCTAAGCAAGCAAACATAAAGGTGGCCTTTCAGTAATGGTTTTGACCACAGAATATTTATAAATAGATTTTTTAAAGCATTTTTAAAATCTGTAGCTTGATGATATGAATATTAAAACAATTGCACACTGGGGAGGCACTTCTCTGACAGAAGGAGTTATGAAACTTGATTGTCATATATTTCAGGTAATATTCTTAGATTTAACAAAAAATACTCAGTTATTTTTAACCCACAAGATAGACTAGATGCTGTTGACTAATCATCCACAAAAACCAATTGACCTTGTAATTTTATAAGATGATAAAAAAATTCTCCTTTCCTTGTTATATAGGCTGATCTCTTAATTAGATATTGCATATTTTTATCATTTTTATTAATGAAATATAATTATAGCAAAATAATCCACCACAATTCATAGCAGGAATAGAATATTGGGGCCTATTTTAAGCAAAATCTATCTGTCAAATAAGAAAGAACTGTGACAAAGGAGTCTAATTCCTCTAGAAAAATCAGACATCTTAAAAAAAACAAACTACAACAGAAAACGAATTCTATTTCTTTGGCCAAGTTATCTTCCACTTTAATTTAACCCCTGTGTTTCTTTATTACAGTGCATTGTTTAAACTCAGTGGCATTTATCTTCAGCATACTGACATTAAATGAGATGTGCCAAGTATGAGCTTCTAATGCTGTAAGCAGATAGATGAGGCATCAGCAAGCCAATTAAACTCCTAGTGATTAGTTCTCTCTCTCAATTCTTTGTCCTTAAAGGGGGAAAAAACCCAAACAGTAATAAGTGATAGTGTTTTGAGGTGAGATGATGTTTGGTGTTTTTCTCTTCATGTAATTTTATCCTGTTGCCAATTGATTTAATGGCTAAAAGGTACATACAGCTTTATTAATTCAATTTTCCTTTATGCATTATCTCAACAAATTAACCCTGAGGATAGTACAATTAGTGGTCTCCAAAATAGTCCATTCCATAAAAGGTGGGATCCTGTCATCCCCCTGAGACAGGAGGACCTCATTCTAAGGATTTGTATTGCTGCTGTAGCATAGAACTTCTCAAAGTGTGGCCTGGCACTTTGTAATTACAGAGCCGTCTTGCTGCATTGACTTGTTCTCTCCTGTCATTGGTGAGGTTCATTAATGGCAACATTTCCAGCTGGTCTGCACCCTGGTGGTGCTCTAGGTTAAGCGTTGAGTGGCTAAGTGGAAAGCTAGTGATTCAAAGTATCAGCTGCTCCGTGGGAGAAAGATGTGTGCTCCAACTTTCTCCATTGGAGCAGCTGGTGGAGTCATATTTCCTGCCTGAGTTGGCAGTGCAACTCCTTACCACCACTTATTCTGGTTTCTTGCCATTGAGTTGACATCAACTCATAGCTGCCCCTCCAGTGGCTTTTCAGAGGCAGTAAATCACACAGGAGAAGATGGCTCATCCTTCTCACACAGAGCAGCTGGTGGATTCAAACTGTGTGCCTTTGGGATTGCAGCGCAGCTTCTTATCACTAGGCCACCAGAGACAATTAG